GCTGATGGTCCTTCTTGAGCATGTGATCAGCTGGTTTTGGTTGTCAGCAGCAAAACTGGTTGATCCACTCTAAGAAGGTGCTATTTAAGAGACTGAGCTGAATACAGCACCTCAGACTGAGGAAGTCTCTCGGATGAGAGACGAAACATTTCTACATTTTTTTGTTGTTTTGCTTTGTTTTGTTTTTTTGAATGTCCAGAGGACCAGATTTAACTTTTTTAGGTATACCTGGATTATTGAGCATGGACTTTGGTTTTGATCCAGTTTGACATGACTGTCGACAAGGGAGAGGGCTGGCACCGGAGGAGGGGCGTGGCAAAGAGACCATCTTAGCACCAACATAACTGGTTTGTTCCACTTTGGAGTAAGCTGTTGGGGGAAGAATCAGTTTTGTGTTGTTTGTTTCCTTGACTGATGAAGCCTTCTGGATGGAAGGTGAAACCTTTCAGCACACACAAAAAAAAAAGAAACTGTCCAGATGACCTGACTGAAAATTGTTGGATTTTAATGGGTTGTTAAACATCTACGTTTACCTACATTTGTAAACACTCCACTTCTGTCAAGCACGGAACCATCAAGTAAGTCTGGTTTGGTTCCAAGCCCGACTTGAAAGGCATTGATCAGTATCGGCCAACTCTGTCCCTACTCGTTGTTGTCCAAATCCACATGTGAAACCTCCAGGTTGCTGCCTGTGGAATCCTGCCCACGTACGACTGCCTGGTTAGTTTGGCACTCACCCCCACCACTCTTTTAGGGGCGTAGATTTTTTTTAAGCGTGGACGTGGAAATGCTACTTGAAGAGGCAGATTGTATGCTGTTGTGTTTAAAATTAGTGTTTATGTATTTATTTTCAGTTTACATATCCCATATAAGTTTTTTTCCGTTCAAGGCAGTCATATTTGTTCATGACTTTATTAGTAAGCCTGAGAGTTACCGGATCCAAGTCGGATCTAAGCAAACAGTTACCGGAACGCAACCTGTCAAAATAAGAGAGTTCCCAGATCTTGTTCCAGCAGGATCCGGCTCAAATTAAGCACTGCACACGATGGAAAAACTCCAAACAGTGTTTATAAAAATCCTCTTCAGTACAGCTGAACAATGGCAACAATTAGCACATTTATATTAAAAACAAGTAATATGATTTCCTCGTAACTATCAAAAACAAAGAATAAGTTTATTTTAGCTAATGCTTTTCTAAGTCATCCTGTGGCACATTATGAAATCAGGTGACACCATAACTGTCTGTTTGCTGTAGAACTGAGATGTTACAAAGATCGTTTAATGTTCCGCTTACCCGGGCAAAAGCTAAAATACAAGTATTTCATTACTTTATTTCCTTCACTGCTTTTTGCGCAAATGGGCATATAATGCTCCACTGAGAAGAAGAAGAGGAACACTCAGCCAAGCCAGGATGAAACAGTAACCAAATCGTCCTCTGCTCAGATCTTTGGACTTGCCTAAAATCTCCTTCCTGTGGAAGGTGAAGATGAGGCATGCAGAAAAGGCTGTAAAACCTGCAGAGACACAAATGAAAGAGTTTTAACTACAGTGCCTGAATACAGTTGAGTCTGGCAATTTGTTGCTTTTTTATTGAGCAGAAATGCACATCTGCATCATTATATTTTACACAAGTACCTTTTGAATCAAGCATTGATGCAAGACCAGAAGGCTAGTGATTGGTTTATGAGATTAAAGTAACATCTGAAAACCCAAAGAATAACAGAAAACCTTAAAAATAGGATTTTTTTTAATAATCAAAAACTTTAAAGTTAAAAAAAAATGTTTGATGTAGACTTTAACACACTGTTTTAAAGCAATAGCTTTTATATTTTTAACTGTGGCTCTGTTGTTTTCAATGGTCAGTGTCTTACCTGCAATAGATAGGAATCTGAACAATCACATTTTGGAGAATTCCAAACGAAATGTCATGGACTAGTCAAACTAATAACTATTCAGACTCCAAAGTGGATTTTTGTCATCTTAAAAAAACAAAAAACAATTTCCGAAAATTCATAGTGATTCATGCAACCATTGTTTTATAAATCATACAATGGTTATTAATACTAAAGTTTATAATTACTAGTATCTAAGATCATGTACATCTGAAATCTTTTACTAGTAATGTTCTTCTAGAACCAACTTTGGCAAACAGAATATTACTGAAAATCACCATAGTTAATAATCATCAATCCAGGTATAAAAATCAATGAGCATGGGATTTTTTTCTTTTTAATCAAACATTGTTCAGTCAGATCATCTGGACGGTTTCTTCTTTTTTGTTTTGAGATGTTACAGAAAATTGTCTAATGCAAACATGATGTAAAACCAAACATTTTGTACTGGTATATTCAAATGCCGTTTTTATGATTTTTACACTAGTTTACTTTTATAGTAGATAGTTTTACTGCTCAATTATACTTGCAGCACTTTTCACAGAGAAACATTTTTGCAAAGAATTCTTGACCAATGCAGCCTTCTGAGTAAAAAAAATTGAACTTTGTGTAAATGACCATAGAAGGCTAAATTTGATGCCATTTGATCCTCTGTGAGTTATTTCAACCATACTGTATGTTCCTTCTCAGGCATTAAGATCATCCAACCAGCTGCTTTTGGTTGTATCAAAAACCAGGTTGAAGCTCAGAAGAGATCGGGCTTTTTCAGTAGAGCTGTCATTTCTAACCTGAACCCGGAGTCTGGCCCTGCCCGACCCAGATTAGGGCCGGGTCAGTGTTGAGCTTTTGATTGCGTCAGCGGACGCGTGCGGCTGACGAACCAATTATATGACAACGTGGCTTGCCATATAATCACCAGCCGCACACATGCGGCCATTTGATCGCACGCTGACCAGCCTTGAAAGAGGTAAAAAGTTCAGTTAAGCTTCAGATGGACTACTGCCAGCGATCCATCAGCCCAAATGGATGTTCATTCAGCCGCTGCACTCAGCGGACACGCGGAGTCAACAACCCAAACAGGTGAGATCACAAAATATCCAACATGTCAGAGCAGGGTCCTTGTCTGAATAATGCAGAATGCAGGCAGAAGCAGAGATTTAATGTGCTTTGATGGCCATGAAAAGACAAACACCCCCTCAGCTCTGATCTTCTACCCCCTTTTATTCAGCCGCGCGCATCTGCCGACCTTTAATAGCTATATAAGCTGTCAAAGCATAATTTAAAATGTCAGTGTTTTTTTTCAGGTGCGGATTTGTAATTACTGTTAATTCGTCGGATCGGGTGGGGGTTGGAAATGATGGCTACGGACTGGGACAGGGACGGATCGGATTTTTGGGGCTCGAATGCAACTCTATTTTTCAGTCGTGGGCCCTAAATTTTGGAACAATCTGCCCCTAAAATTAGACAGGCCACTTCAATTCCTGTTTTTAAATCTCTCCTGAAAACACACCTGTTTTCTCTGGCTTTTAGTATTTTATTTTTTTGTGTTTTTATGTTTTTCTTTTGATTCTTTAAATTAATTTTTGGTATTATTTTTTCATTAAATTACTGCCGTACTTTATTGTTAAGCACTTTGGTAACAGCTGCTTATTTTAAATGTGCTTAATAAATAAAGTTGACTTGACATTATAGACTTTTCTCTGGTTCCCTAAACTGTTATTGTCTGACTTCTGTCTACTGCAGTGTGAGAAACTGATAGTAACTCCAAAAAATCTCTTTTCACAATAGGCGTCCCTTAAAGAAAAAGGCCTTTAAATAACCTGCAAAGGCCTGGCAGAGGCCTGTGAAGTAGAAGAGGCTCCCTCTGGACAAGAGGAACAGCTGACCCAGAAAAACCAGGAAGGATATGCAGGAGAAGACCATAGACAGGATCATGAGGGCCTGGACGGACTGCAGCCAGTCTGCGATAACAGACAGATTCAAATATACAGTATAATAAAACGCAATGTAGCATGTAACAAGAAAGAAAACATTATCAATACTTTTAAAATGTACCTGTTTCAGTTGTAGAGGCACACACCCAAATTTTTGTGGTGTTATCGTAGAAGCAGTTGTTCCAGAGGTCAGTGATTTCTGAATCGGTCCAAACCCACCAGGACTGCAGGAAGAAAAAGACATAGTGCAGAACAGTGACATCTAGTGTCAAGATGAGGGAAAACACAAGTCCTGCACTCGGGTCTCACCTTTTCCAGAGTGGCAACGAAGAGCATGGCCAAGCTGACCAAGTGCAGCAAAGTGATGAATATGAGCAGATAAGCCATGGCTGGTTGGAGAGCAAGAGTGAAATCCTGCACAAATGTAAACGCATATTAAATGTTTAAGTAGTGAAAGTTACTTTTAAAATAAATAAAAAACAAACTATAGCTACCAAAATGAAAGAGCTGATCTTTACAGAGCTGAACATTTTATCTTTGCATCATCTGGAACAGATGGAAGGTCGGGAACCCCGAGTCTGACCTCTGGAGGTACAAACACAACTGATGCATCAGGGCATCTTTTGCTGGTATATCTTGGTAACAACGCTAATTACCCCGACACCCTTTAAGTTATTTTTGTATTTTACTTTACTTCAAAGAATTTTTTCATCGTTCCCTCTGGAACAGCCCATATTATATACTGTACTAAACAGCTAGAATCAGGTCAAACCTTTAAACATGATGAAAAACCTGCATTACTGTCCTTTCACTCAATTCATTGCAGGTAATTTAGACTTTCCTGCTGGTGCTTTGCTTTGCTTGATGCGGGGGCTTCTTTCTGTCAAGCTGCTTTGAAATACAGTAGTCCCTCGTTTATCGCGGGGGATCCATATCCTGAAGTCCCGTGATAAGTGAAAAACAAGTTGTGTGTGTGTATATATATATATATATAAGGCGTTTTAAATCCTTCCCACACTCTTGTAATATTCTAAACAATGTTTCTAAACTCT